TTTGTGTTTGTATAAAGGATAAATTTAACATCAAGATTTCAACATAAAAGTGTGTTTATATTATTTTAGTATAACTTCCAAAAATGCTTCATTATGTAGCTAGGGCTTTGCACCCCCCCTTTAACCTCAACTATTATTTGCGCCTATGGGATTATTATTATTATAATTTAAGTTAAGAGTGTGTGATATTGGTATGAATAAGTATGTATTATTACAAATACATAGTCTGCTAAAACAGTTTTTTTTTTTATAGTATGTACCTATATGGAAAAATATGGTCACTATATAAGTGTACTATAACAATCTTGCCAAAAATAATTGTACAAGATGACAATGTCGAGAATATTTTCTTTTTTTTTTTTTGACCAATGTAACTATAGTATTTTAATAATTCATCAGAAAATAGTTTACGCATTACTTGGCGTATAGATGAAGCTAAAGTTTTTCTAACTAAACGTTTGAGGCCATTTACCTAAAAAACATTAAATTTGAATTTGTATACTTAAAAACATACAGATTATACATTATTTAAACTTACCACATTCAATCTGAAACTTCTATCAGAAAGCTTGTTTTCAAACATATTAAGATCATCTTCATTCCTTAAAGGAAGTAGAGATTCAAAATTGTTTTCTTGATTTATTGTTTCAATATAAGTTGATTCATTAACAGCTGATTTAATTAAACAACTTTCTTCTATTTTTTTTATCCATTTGTTACAGTTTTTGACCCAAACTTTCAACATCATAACTTATTTTAAAAACTACTTGTAATATACGTTTAACAATTTCTGTAATAAAGAAAAAAAGATATTTAACAATAAGAACAAATTTATAATAAAACAATAAAGAAAAGGACACTTCTAAATTTATACTAACTAACTTATCTTAAAGAGTATTAATTATTTCTTCACTACACCTGCATCCAAGCGTTGACTAGACATTTATACCGGAATCAAATGATCAAACGATTGGCATGCAATAATAACCTATAATACAAATATCGTTGAACATTCAAGTTATCAAAATATAAATTTTTTGGTGTAGCTAATACTATATAACAAAAATATTCTTATATTACTTCATATATATATATATATTACTTCATATATATAATCATAACTCACTTGTTTGTTCATTTTTTTTTTTTTTACTGAAGTGGATGTTGGTTTTTCGAAATAAGAAAGTCCCTGCATGATTTTGTTTTTGTCTGTAAAATATGCAATATTTGGCATCTTTGAAATAGATATGGATAGATGTTTTTTTTATTAATATAATTTATTATTTAATTATTATTACCTTTTAGATTTTTGAAAGAACTAGAATGTAGATTAATTCGATCAGTTGATGCATTTAATCTGTAGTCTACAACTAAATAAATATGAATATAATTGTAAATATTATCATAAGGTCAATTTAAATATATATTTAAAAGAGCAAAATATTTAAAATACAAATTACTTTCATGTTCTTTACTTGTGGATAGAGGTTTATTGGGTGACCACCTTGGTACTAATTTAGTTTTTGTGTTTGTTTAAATTTTTTGGAGAGTTTTTAAGTGGTAATTAGTGTTAATCATTGAGAGATCTTATATCATTAGCTTTTTCATCTGAATACAAAATGAAATAGTTTAAAAATTTGATTTTTAACTTTCATTACCAATGATAATATTATTACTAACAATGCTTTGGTTATGCAGTACAGCTGTATAATTTCTAGAAAAAGTAGGGTGTATACAAGTTCTATAAACATCAATTATTTCAATTTCTTCTAAAAATATAAGGCGTTTAGTGGACTGACTATTGTGAATTTGAAGACACATAATTTATTAATGCGATCAATAATAACTGTAAGACCTTTCCAAAAATAATATTGATGATAGGTACTCGTATACTTAATGTTTTATAGTATTATTTATAGGCAAATTATAAAATAAATATAATTTAAATAATATAAAATGTAATTTATGAAATTGATGGATATAAAACTGTTAAAAATGTTTAATGAACATAAAAGATCAAATTTAAATTATACTTATAAATAGCTAAATAATGAACAACATGTACCTTGTAATTTGTTTAGCATATAGCGGTACTTATATATAAAGTCGAATATCGATGAGTATAGTATGATATGTTCACGGTAGTTTAAGTTGAAGTTAACCTGCAAAAAGTGTTTGAATAATTTAATAATTTAATAAGGTAAATGAATTAAACAGTTAAGGTCCCCACACACTGCCACGGTGGCGATTTTTATCCAGTACAAACATAATAATTAGTCAAGCATTATTTAATCTCTAACACAGAAAGTATATAATGAAAAATATTAAATATATTTTAATTAAAATTCAAACCTCAGGCATTATGTTTCTTAAATACGTTTTCACTCTTTTCAGAGTTGAAAACATATGTTCGAGCAATGATGTTGACACTGGTAAAGTGCATAACACTTTAAAGAGAAAATAAATATTGGGGTAAATATCTTTATTACAAATATCTAGAGCCTCAAGACCAGTATTAGGTATTTTTCCAGATCTTTGTATCTTGGTATACCACAGTTTTCATTCAACCAAAGAATCATTAGACACTACGGTAGAATAAAATTTAATTAATTCGGTAAATTCATTTTCATCTTTTTCAGTAAGCTTATGCTTAGAAAATAAGCATTCAAAGCCTATAAAATGATTAAATCAAATATTCAAATAATTCAAACGTTAAGAAATTTTCAAATTAAAATGCATGTTCTAAATGTATAATAAAATACCATTATAAATAGATGCATGATATAAAAAACTTTCTGTCAACTCGCTTATAAAAAACTCATATATGGAATAAAAATTGTAATTTTATAGTATTCTTCAATGTCTAAATCTCTTGCATTATCTGAACATGGATGTCCTCTATTAGTTAGATAATGTTAAGTTATGAAAAGAAACATAAAATTTAATTAATTTAAATTTGAAATGAAACTACAGTGATTAATTTAAAATTAATTATATTAATTAAATATGAACTTTATTTACATACAAATTATGATTATAAGTTAACTTTACTAATATGATTAAAAGGTTTTAAGATTTTTTATGTACGTTAAATAATTTTGATTTTAATACCATTTAATATTTTAAGTATAAAACTCAAAAATATAAATGAAAGGCGTTACCAGACTCCCGAACGAATCCTGATAAAGGTTGAAACACAAAAATTTCGAGTTGTTTCTGAAAAGAAACATAAAAACAAATGTTTATTAAAATTTGAATAAGTTGAAGTAAAATTAGATTGATTAATTTCAATTTAAATATATTATATAAATATGAACGCCATTGATTAGAAAATTATGATTATTTGTTAAGTTGAATCATACGACTTAAATGGTTTAAGATAATTTATGTAAATTAAATGAATATGATTTTCATACCGGTAAATATTTAATGTATTGAATGAAAAAAAAAAAAATTAAAAGTAGTTACCTGCCTCCCAAAGAATCCTAGGTTAAAGTTATAGCCAAAAATAAATCCAAGTACTGAAAATAAAAATTAAAATCAATTCAATTAAACACAACTTAAAAAATCAAAAAAATACCTTTCATAAAAACAGTAAACAAATACATTCAATACTCGAAGTTAATTAAGTAAAATAGTCGAAGAAGAAATATTGATCCATATCAAGAGCTCAAAATGATTCATTAATTTAATGCCAAAAGAGTTTATCAGCTGTTCAACACTACCTACAAACAACCATACAAAAAACAAATTATAGAAGTACTACGAGTATAAAATACATCAAATATATCCAACACCACAATTAATACAAAATAACAAATATCTAAACAAATCAAAAAAGACAAGAACACAGAAATGTAACAATAAGCATAAACGATTCGCTATTTAAACGCCAAAAGGTTTGATCGGCTGTTCAACACTACCTACAAACAACCAAACAAAAAAAAAAAAAAAAATATATAAAACTACCATGAGATAAAAGACAACAAATATATCTAACACCACAATGAATACAATGTATCAAACAAATACCTAAACAAATCACAAAAACAAGCCGAAGAACAAGATACAGACCTACATCAAATTATAGAAATGATTCCTTAATTCGAAGCCAAAAGAGTTGACCAACAGTTCAACGCTTCCTTCAAACAACCAAACAAGATCTTGGGACCCCGGATTCGCTAGGACCCGTAAACACGTAAGAACGTGTTCCCCTGGGGAACAAAAACAGAACTGTAACGAAGAGTATAAACGATTCTCTAAATAATGGCCAAAAGAGTTGATCAGCTCTTCAACACTACCTACAGTGTTGCCAGGTTAAAGAGATTGAATGTTCAGAAAATTATCGTAAAATATTTTGTTCGTACTGTAAAAAATATCCCTTTGCTCCGCTCAGCAGTTAAATAAATTTTAATGAAAGAAGTATTAATTTATATTATTTAAACTATAAAATGTTGTATGTAAAATGTTTACCATAATCAATAATTTATATTACCTACTTGAGTTATGATAAATAATAAACAAATGAATATGTTTTATACTTACATGTTTTATAGGAGATCGACTAGCTGACGATTTTGATGTTTTTATGATAAATTGATCCATTGCTATTATATATTATAAATATTTAACACAACGATAAAAATTGCAAATCCAATTAATAAATTAAAATACAAGTCACGGTGCGTAATGAGTGTTTGGCACTTCTGAGATCGTTCGATTTAGAATAAATAATAATACAGTATTATGTATATTCAATGTATATTCAATTCAAGACGCTTCAGGCGATTTTATGACGAACCTAATCACCCATATTTTTCATTGGTAACCTAAAACTAATTCTTGTTACTTGCTATTTTTAGTTACTTTCAATAAAATGATAAAATGATATTTCATACAATAAATAAGAACTTATCAGCTAATGATATTTATTTTTTGGAAATGTTGACTTCAATGTCTAAAAATAGATATATCAACAATATATGAAAATTTGCCGAATGGGTCACTATAATATTATCTAATGACTAAAACTGTGATGTTGACAATATTATCAAGTTATATTTTGGATTCTTTGAGTAAAAATGAAACTATCTAAATTTATACTTTCATCTTATAAAAATGTTCGTAATTAGGCGTACGGATGTTCGTTTTATGTTAAGTTTGTACAGTAGTTTTAATGTTCGTACTAAAACGAACATGTTCGTACGCCTGGTAACACTGCCTACAAACAACCAACAATAAAAATTACAGAAATTCTATGAATAAAAAAAAGACAACAAATACAACCAACATCACAAAAAAGACAAACAATCTTGTTCATGTTGAGAACACTTATTGTCATGTTATCATTTTCTGGCGATGTGCTCCTGGCCGTAATCGTAATCGTCCTGTTATCATCGCACGTAAATGTATCGGTTAATGCATATTTTCGAAATTGTGGGTTATGTTTACCAGAAAAGATAATGTCATGCTCTCAGTGCCACAAAGTTCATTAATTTCGAGTGTTTTTCAATTTTGTGTGGTAGCACTGAGGCATTTTATATTCATTTTATTGTCCGGCGTTCGTAGCTTTCTTGGTGAATGTCGTCAGCACCGACCCGCATTCTTCTGTGTGTTTTCGTGGTGTGCACATCTACCTTCGTGTTGTTGAGTGTTCGTATGTCCGCAGCCATTTTTGTTGAAACCAAGTTTTCAAGTATTGTCATTATTCATTAGTGAATCGACCGTCTGTTAAAGTATTGTTCGAGACAATCTGATATTGTCCAGCGATTAATTTCATTGTTTTTCAGTTTTACCAGCGGTCGCTTAGTGAATAACGTGGTTTTTATTCATTGTGTCATCGTCCAGGGCTGTGGACCATTGCATTTTTTCCGTTGGTGTCTATACTTGGGTGATCGCTCGTACCAATTCTGTGATTTATTTTCATTTATACACTGCGGTGTGCCATCGTAGGCAATTGTCTAGTTACAGGGTTGGTGTGGTCGCGTGGATGCGATCAGCCATTCAACATAGTCACATGTGAGTATTGGTCGACCATATTTGTTTTTGTGTTAAACATTGTGTAAAGGCCGACAGGCCTAGCCGTCGTAGGAAAATTATTATTCTTATTATTTAGTGTGGCCACGTATTAAATTATTTACTTTGTGTTAGTGTGTGCCATGTGGTCCACACATTTTGATTTATTTATTATTTTACTTTATTAATATATTATTTATTTATTGCATTGTGCCAACCAGGCTACATAATATATCTGATCAAATTATACATTTATTATATTATTTTTTTTATATATGTTTTGAGCCTAAGTGGCTAAATTACAAAACCTGATAATTATTTTTTTTTTTTTTAAATCTTTACTTTTTTACTTTTGATTTTTGTGATTTTGGAATTGTCTTTTAAGTTTGTTGGTTAGTTTATTAAAGATCCGCTTGTCATTAGAGTAACCTGTTATTTGCCATTTGGCTTGAGCTTTTTCTTTTTTGTCTTAAGAATAAATTGATGTGGCCCGGGAGTGGGTATTTGTCCAGAATTGTGTTCGAGGTGGTGGAATAGTTGTTACTTGGGCGCGGGGACAGTTTGGCCGCGGGTTGAATCATTTCTACAAATGTGACAGAAGCTTACTCGAGGTCTTTGGGAGTTTTAAGAGGTATGCCTAATTTTGTATTGTTGCTTAAGTACTTTTTGTAGTGGGTCCAGTTTATTAAGCCTGAGGTCAGAGAAGATCTTGTTGGGATTTGGTTTATTTCACCATCAATGACTAGCTTTACTGGGGTATGATCAGAGGAAAGATCAGTGATGTTATATATAGCAAGGGGTAAGTTACTTGAGGTGGAATATATGAAGAAGTCTAGGATATCTGGATGCCTATTGGTCTGAGTGGGCCGATATATCAGTCCAGTAAGTGCGAGGAGTGACCATTTATGATTGGTAATTGTTTTGCGTAGGATTTTACCTCTTAGAGAGGTGGAGTGGCAGCCCCATACTGGTTAGGTTATAACCAATACTGGGTGTTTGGAATTAAAGACACCACCTGCAATAAAATTATTCCCTAGTGAGATAAAAAGTTGAGCAAAATTAAGAGTGGTGATTTTTTGGCTGGGAAAACAGTAGACTGAAGCAAGGGTTAGCGGAACATGGTTTAGGAAAATTTGGATAGAAACTGACTGAAGGTTGGTTTGTGGATTGATTGAGTATAGGTTGTGAACTAAGTTAGTGGCAATGATTATGGCAGAGCCTGTATGAGCCGTACCGTCCGGGTGGTCTGCATGGTATATTGAGTAACCAGGTAGTTTTAATTTTATTGTTTTAGTTTGGTGAGTTTCAGTGATACAAGCTATGTGGATATTATTTTGAATTAAAAAATTATGTAGTTCATGTTTATGTTGAGATAAGCCATTTGCATTCCAGAGAATATTTGTTGCATTATTTATCATTATGACTGAAAAATTTGGTAATTAGTGATGTAAGAGAAATGAGAAGGATTATTAGTGATTTAAATTCTAACCCTAACCTAACCTGATTATTATAAATTTATTATTATTTCCATTATTATTATTATTACTATATTTATCATAATTATTGAATTATACCATCCACTTAAAGTTAAATGTTATTTTTTCTATATCGTTTTATTCACACAGCATTCTATTTATTTTTACAGCTGTTAAGGCACCGTTATATTTTTTATATTATAAGAGCTGACAGTGTCGACAAATCTATCAAATACCTAAACAAATTACAAAAGCCAAGAACATAAACAGACCTGTAAAAAATAGTATCAACGATTCTCTAATTAAATGCCAAAAGAGTAGATCAGCAATTCAATACTACATACAAACAACTAAACAAAAAAATATATAGAACTACTACGAATAAAAAAAAGACAACAAATATATCCAACAACATAATGAATACTAAGTATGAAACAAATACCTAAATAAATCACAAAATAATGTCTAAGAACAAAATACAGATCTTTATCAAGAGCTCAGAATGATTCATTAATTTAAAGCCAAAAGAGTTGATCAGCAGTTCAACACTACCTACAAAAGACCAACAAAAAAAATTATACAAATACAACGATTAAAAAAAAGAAAACAAATGTATCAAACACAACAATAAATAGAAAGTAACAAACAATTATCTAAACAAATCACAAATGCCAAGAACAAAAATAGACTTGTACGAAATAGTATAAACGATTCCCTAATAAAACGCCAAAAGATTTGATCAGCTGTCCAACCTACCTACAAACAACCAAACAAGAGCTCGGGACCCCGGGTTCGCTTAGACCCGTAAACACGTAAGAATGTGTTCCATTGGGAGACAAAAAGTACCTAAACGAATCACAAAACCGAAGAACAAAAACAGAACTGTAACAATGAGTAAAAAGATTCCCTAATTAAACGACCAAAGTTATGATCAGCTGTTCAACACTACCTACAAAAAACCAACAACAAAAAATAGACAAATTATCAATCAAATACTTAAACAAATCAAAAAACCTAATAACAAGAACACATCTGTAACAAAGAGTAAAAATGTTCCATAATTAAACACCAACAGATTTGATCAGCTGTCCAACAATACCTACAAAACACCAAACAAGAGCTTGGGACCCCGGGTTCGCTAAGACCCGTAAACACGTAAGAACGTATTCCCCTGGGGGACAACAAAAACTTAAACAAATCACAAAAGCCGAGGAACAAGACAGAACTGTTAATTAGAGTATAAACGATTCCCTAATAAAACGCCAAAAGATTTGATCAGCTGTTCGACACTACCTATGAAAAACCAACAAAAAAGATTGTACAAAAATAACGAATAAAAAAGACAATAAGTATATACAAAAACACAAAAAAGACAAAAAAC